GACACATCCCCTTCCCTTTTAGATGTTGTGACTAAAAAACCAAGCCCAGGTTAAGGCATCAATGACGTTTCTGGTCCAAACCTCCGATATACAAGCAGCTCTCTCAGCAGCGCTAACAATACCTGAAAAAAGAAAATCTTAAGGTGTAAGATTAAACATAAACATAAATTCTATGCAATATTTTCAGTTAAAACAAACTATTCATTTATTAATATACATATCTCCTTATAGATGGTCAAATGTACAAACTGTCAACTTGTCTGAGCTTGTACCTTTGTCAGAATTCTCCGCTGCTTTCCTCTAAGAAATGTCTTTAAGGGCTAGTTCACACCATCTCCAGACCAGAACTGGATGTGCTTCTGGAAAAGTGGGTAGGTGCGTTTTAGATGCATTCCAGTCATAATTAATTTCTAGTGCGTTCTAGTGCATTTGCATGTGTTTACACCATTTACAGACCAGATCGTTTGTTTATCTGGTCCAAAAACACACGCCTACAGACTCCAATGGTTTTTCTGAGTTTACTTTACACCCCTGCGTTCACTTCCATAGCTTTCCGGAAAAAAAAGTAATGTCACATTTTTTTCTGGTCTGGAACACATAAAAACACATGCAAACGCACCAGAACACCCCTAAAAGCCAATGGAGAAAAAAACGCACCAGAACACATCAAAAACACACTGTTTTAGTAAAAATGCATCCAGATGTGGTCTGGAGAAAGTGTGAACAAGCCTTACTCTGTTAGATGCAGACACCTGCTCAGCAAAGAAGCTGATCCGGATACTGGCAGCTGATGAATCTGGTCTAAGGTCTCTTTGATGACTGGAGACAGAGCCTAAACCTGCTTTAGCTACCTGGCAAAGAAAAGTAGCTGCTGAGAGGGTGGCAGAGAAACCTGCCTATTCCACTTAAAAAGGCAATCCAAAGACTAAACCACAGGCACTGGAGTGGAGAAACCTAAGCAGTGTGACCTCACAGACTACATCTTAGACAGGTGCCTGCCCTGCCTAACCTTAGTTTTGGCTCTGCGTATATGGCAACCATTATCACAGCCCCAATAGTAATAAAATTCATCGCAAAACAATACAACTTGTTTTGGGAGGGAGTGAGAAATGTAAAATGACAGTCTGTTATATTATCTGTAAAGCTTTGAAAGAAATCATTCTGAAGTCTTGGCAGGATTCGGTAAAGTCCTTGAGGTTTCAGGTACCTTCAAAATAGACGTACAACGGCCCCGCCGGCTGAGCCAGACACCTGGTATTTCAGCAGATGCAATTGCCTTACAGTACTTCTCCTTCGGTAAAAAAAAAAAAAGAGAACAGGATCGCCAACTAAAATTTTGTTGGGAAGAGACAAAACAAACTGGTCCAAAAATCTTCACAGGAAATAATGTGAATATTGTTCATAAAACTGCCAACCAGAGGTTCATAAGTCTGACGTGCAGCCATATAGAAATCCTCAAATCTCAACATCGCTTTCCTTGTCATTGTCATGATCTCCATCGTAAAATTCATTTGAAGCCTCTGGCCTAAAAAACAAAATCAAAATAATAATACCATGCACAATTTTTGAAGGAAACATTTATGAAGGGCATTTTTTTTTTTTTTTTAGATACACCTAAATCCTGTCGAAAACCTGGGAGGTTAATCTAAACCTACAATAGGAGAAAAGAAAACCAACGAGCCACTAAATTATTTGCTGTAGGCTGTGTTAGTTTGGCGTTGTGACAGACGGAAACAATTCTAAAACCAGCCACTAATGAACAGATCCCGATAGTGGATACAAGCCACCTGCATACTTTGGCTAAACTGACCACTCTTCCATTATGTGATCGGACAGTGTACGAAGACCCCAACAATGAACAATCCATATTTGTCTCCTTTTGGTCTGTTAAATATACCACCAATAACGTGTGTTTTATATGTTTTCTAAGTACACACAAAACACCCATCATAAATTCAGAGATGCCCTGTGTAGTCTGCCCATGTTGTCTCAAAGAGCCTTTTATCCAGCCCTATATGGCATACATGTACATTAGTCCCTATGCAGGGGATAAGGAAACAATATTGACAGCCGACAACACTCAGTCCAAAAATGATGTGTGTTGTCAGCCCACAATAAGAAATATGGTGCCAAGTGCAGTGGGGTTATAGATACACACATATAGCTAATGTGTGTGTGTGTGGAGAATGAGGGAGGGGGAGAGAGAATGAGGGAGGGGGAGAGAGAGAGAGAGAGAGAGCGAGAGAGAGAGAGAGAGAGCGAGAGAGAGAGAGAGAGAGCGAGAGAGAGAGAGAGAGAGCGAGAGAGAGAGAGAGAGAGCGAGAGAGAGAGAGAGAGAGCGAGAGAGAGAGAGAGAGAGCGAGAGAGAGAGAGAGAGAGCGAGAGAGAGAGAGAGAGAGCGAGAGAGAGAGAGAGAGAGCGAGAGAGAGAGAGAGAGAGCGAGAGAGAGAGAGAGAGAGCGAGAGAGAGAGAGAGAGAGCGAGAGAGAGAGAGAGAGAGCGAGAGAGAGAGAGAGAGAGCGAGAGAGAGAGAGAGAGAGCGAGAGAGAGAGAGAGAGAGCGAGAGAGAGAGAGAGAGAGCGAGAGAGAGAGAGAGAGAGCGAGAGAGAGAGAGAGAGAGCGAGAGAGAGAGAGAGAGAGCGAGAGAGAGAGAGAGAGAGCGAGAGAGAGAGAGAGAGAGCGAGAGAGAGAGAGAGAGAGCGAGAGAGAGAGAGAGAGAGCGAGAGAGAGAGAGAGAGAGCGAGAGAGAGAGAGAGAGAGCGAGAGAGAGAGAGAGAGAGCGAGAGAGAGAGAGAGAGAGCGAGAGAGAGAGAGAGAGAGCGAGAGAGAGAGAGAGAGAGCGAGAGAGAGAGAGAGAGAGCGAGAGAGAGAGAGAGAGAGCGAGAGAGAGAGAGAGAGAGCGAGAGAGAGAGAGAGAGAGCGAGAGAGAGAGAGAGAGAGCGAGAGAGAGAGAGAGAGAGCGAGAGAGAGAGAGAGAGAGCGAGAGAGAGAGAGAGAGAGCGAGAGAGAGAGAGAGAGAGCGAGAGAGAGAGAGAGAGAGCGAGAGAGAGAGAGAGAGAGCGAGAGAGAGAGAGAGAGAGCGAGAGAGAGAGAGAGAGAGCGAGAGAGAGAGAGAGAGAGCGAGAGAGAGAGAGAGAGAGCGAGAGAGAGAGAGAGAGAGCGAGAGAGAGAGAGAGAGAGCGAGAGAGAGAGAGAGAGAGCGAGAGAGAGAGAGAGAGAGCGAGAGAGAGAGAGAGAGAGCGAGAGAGAGAGAGAGAGAGCGAGAGAGAGAGAGAGAGAGCGAGAGAGAGAGAGAGAGAGCGAGAGAGAGAGAGAGAGAGCGAGAGAGAGAGAGAGAGAGCGAGAGAGAGAGAGAGAGAGCGAGAGAGAGAGAGAGAGAGCGAGAGAGAGAGAGAGAGAGCGAGAGAGAGAGAGAGAGAGCGAGAGAGAGAGAGAGAGAGCGAGAGAGAGAGAGAGAGAGCGAGAGAGAGAGAGAGAGAGCGAGAGAGAGAGAGAGAGAGCGAGAGAGAGAGAGAGAGAGCGAGAGAGAGAGAGAGAGAGCGAGAGAGAGAGAGAGAGAGCGAGAGAGAGAGAGAGAGAGCGAGAGAGAGAGAGAGAGAGCGAGAGAGAGAGAGAGAGAGCGAGAGAGAGAGAGAGAGAGCGAGAGAGAGAGAGAGAGAGCGAGAGAGAGAGAGAGAGAGCGAGAGAGAGAGAGAGAGAGCGAGAGAGAGAGAGAGAGAGCGAGAGAGAGAGAGAGAGAGCGAGAGAGAGAGAGAGAGAGCGAGAGAGAGAGAGAGAGAGCGAGAGAGAGAGAGAGAGAGCGAGAGAGAGAGAGAGAGAGCGAGAGAGAGAGAGAGAGAGCGAGAGAGAGAGAGAGAGAGCGAGAGAGAGAGAGAGAGAGCGAGAGAGAGAGAGAGAGAGCGAGAGAGAGAGAGAGAGAGCGAGAGAGAGAGAGAGAGAGCGAGAGAGAGAGAGAGAGAGCGAGAGAGAGAGAGAGAGAGCGAGAGAGAGAGAGAGAGAGCGAGAGAGAGAGAGAGAGAGCGAGAGAGAGAGAGAGAGAGCGAGAGAGAGAGAGAGAGAGCGAGAGAGAGAGAGAGAGAGCGAGAGAGAGAGAGAGAGAGCGAGAGAGAGAGAGAGAGAGCGAGAGAGAGAGAGAGAGAGCGAGAGAGAGAGAGAGAGAGCGAGAGAGAGAGAGAGAGAGCGAGAGAGAGAGAGAGAGAGCGAGAGAGAGAGAGAGAGAGCGAGAGAGAGAGAGAGAGAGCGAGAGAGAGAGAGAGAGAGCGAGAGAGAGAGAGAGAGAGCGAGAGAGAGAGAGAGAGAGCGAGAGAGAGAGAGAGAGAGCGAGAGAGAGAGAGAGAGAGCGAGAGAGAGAGAGAGAGAGCGAGAGAGAGAGAGAGAGAGCGAGAGAGAGAGAGAGAGAGCGAGAGAGAGAGAGAGAGAGCGAGAGAGAGAGAGAGAGAGCGAGAGAGAGAGAGAGAGAGCGAGAGAGAGAGAGAGAGAGCGAGAGAGAGAGAGAGAGAGCGAGAGAGAGAGAGAGAGAGCGAGAGAGAGAGAGAGAGAGCGAGAGAGAGAGAGAGAGAGCGAGAGAGAGAGAGAGAGAGCGAGAGAGAGAGAGAGAGAGCGAGAGAGAGAGAGAGAGAGCGAGAGAGAGAGAGAGAGAGCGAGAGAGAGAGAGAGAGAGCGAGAGAGAGAGAGAGAGAGCGAGAGAGAGAGAGAGAGAGCGAGAGAGAGAGAGAGAGAGCGAGAGAGAGAGAGAGAGAGCGAGAGAGAGAGAGAGAGAGCGAGAGAGAGAGAGAGAGAGCGAGAGAGAGAGAGAGAGAGCGAGAGAGAGAGAGAGAGAGCGAGAGAGAGAGAGAGAGAGCGAGAGAGAGAGAGAGAGAGCGAGAGAGAGAGAGAGAGAGCGAGAGAGAGAGAGAGAGAGCGAGAGAGAGAGAGAGAGAGCGAGAGAGAGAGAGAGAGAGCGAGAGAGAGAGAGAGAGAGCGAGAGAGAGAGAGAGAGAGCGAGAGAGAGAGAGAGAGAGCGAGAGAGAGAGAGAGAGAGCGAGAGAGAGAGAGAGAGAGCGAGAGAGAGAGAGAGAGAGCGAGAGAGAGAGAGAGAGAGCGAGAGAGAGAGAGAGAGAGCGAGAGAGAGAGAGAGAGAGCGAGAGAGAGAGAGAGAGAGCGAGAGAGAGAGAGAGAGAGCGAGAGAGAGAGAGAGAGAGCGAGAGAGAGAGAGAGAGAGCGAGAGAGAGAGAGAGAGAGCGAGAGAGAGAGAGAGAGAGCGAGAGAGAGAGAGAGAGAGCGAGAGAGAGAGAGAGAGAGCGAGAGAGAGAGAGAGAGAGCGAGAGAGAGAGAGAGAGAGCGAGAGAGAGAGAGAGAGAGCGAGAGAGAGAGAGAGAGAGCGAGAGAGAGAGAGAGAGAGCGAGAGAGAGAGAGAGAGAGCGAGAGAGAGAGAGAGAGAGCGAGAGAGAGAGAGAGAGAGCGAGAGAGAGAGAGAGAGAGCGAGAGAGAGAGAGAGAGAGCGAGAGAGAGAGAGAGAGAGCGAGAGAGAGAGAGAGAGAGCGAGAGAGAGAGAGAGAGAGCGAGAGAGAGAGAGAGAGAGCGAGAGAGAGAGAGAGAGAGCGAGAGAGAGAGAGAGAGAGCGAGAGAGAGAGAGAGAGAGCGAGAGAGAGAGAGAGAGAGCGAGAGAGAGAGAGAGAGAGCGAGAGAGAGAGAGAGAGAGCGAGAGAGAGAGAGAGAGAGCGAGAGAGAGAGAGAGAGAGCGAGAGAGAGAGAGAGAGAGCGAGAGAGAGAGAGAGAGAGCGAGAGAGAGAGAGAGAGAGCGAGAGAGAGAGAGAGAGAGCGAGAGAGAGAGAGAGAGAGCGAGAGAGAGAGAGAGAGAGCGAGAGAGAGAGAGAGAGAGCGAGAGAGAGAGAGAGAGAGCGAGAGAGAGAGAGAGAGAGCGAGAGAGAGAGAGAGAGAGCGAGAGAGAGAGAGAGAGAGCGAGAGAGAGAGAGAGAGAGCGAGAGAGAGAGAGAGAGAGCGAGAGAGAGAGAGAGAGAGCGAGAGAGAGAGAGAGAGAGCGAGAGAGAGAGAGAGAGAGCGAGAGAGAGAGAGAGAGAGCGAGAGAGAGAGAGAGAGAGCGAGAGAGAGAGAGAGAGAGCGAGAGAGAGAGAGAGAGAGCGAGAGAGAGAGAGAGAGAGCGAGAGAGAGAGAGAGAGAGCGAGAGAGAGAGAGAGAGAGCGAGAGAGAGAGAGAGAGAGCGAGAGAGAGAGAGAGAGAGCGAGAGAGAGAGAGAGAGAGCGAGAGAGAGAGAGAGAGAGCGAGAGAGAGAGAGAGAGAGCGAGAGAGAGAGAGAGAGAGCGAGAGAGAGAGAGAGAGAGCGAGAGAGAGAGAGAGAGAGCGAGAGAGAGAGAGAGAGAGCGAGAGAGAGAGAGAGAGAGCGAGAGAGAGAGAGAGAGAGCGAGAGAGAGAGAGAGAGAGCGAGAGAGAGAGAGAGAGAGCGAGAGAGAGAGAGAGAGAGCGAGAGAGAGAGAGAGAGAGCGAGAGAGAGAGAGAGAGAGCGAGAGAGAGAGAGAGAGAGCGAGAGAGAGAGAGAGAGAGCGAGAGAGAGAGAGAGAGAGCGAGAATGAGGGAGGGGGAGAGAGAGAGACGGAGGGAGGGAGAATACACATACACACACACCTATATATATGTACACACATACAAACAGCATTCTCCTGTGCATTCATTTTCCAACAAGCTTTTATTATTCTCATAAATGTATTGAGATAATTTTCAGCCATAATGCAAGTAAATGTGATAATGTACCTATCACATCTCATCATTGCAGTTATTGTAGTATAAAACGGTATTTTCAACTATGTAAATATGAACCTAGATCCCAGTTATTAAAGAAACGCGAACAGCGCATGATTATAAGTATGCATATTCCAAAATGTTGCAAGGGGTGTGTCTTTACCTGGAATAATTGTCCTCAGAGCCTCTCTCTTCTGGATCTGGCTCATCAGTGCGGTCATAGCTTAAGATATCGGAAGGGACGTCATGGATCTGAACACTTGGTGCATGGTTCAGCATCTTAAGATTTTCAAAAATGGTTTGTCTGATTTGATCCAAATACTGTATAAATAGGTGATGTAATTATGACTGTTAGATGGAAACTATAGTGGTTTTTGCTGAACCATTACAAATACACATTTACAACAGAGTCAGGGTGGATAAAAATCGATGATTTAAAAAAAAAATCAAAAACATTCGGATTTTTTTTTATTTAAATCAGATTTATTTTAATAAAATGCTTTTGGAGTAAAAATCTATCTAAAGATAGTTTTCTATTTAAGATGCATTAATAATTTAGTTTATTCAGCATGAAATGGAGCATGAGGCTGTATGTTCTGCAATATTTAAATTTTTGTTAAACTCATTCAATGAATCCAAGCTCTGCAAGCTGAGATGACATGCACTTCATTGATGCATTCGCACACTTTCACAGTAAGTAAAAATGAGAGAAATTATAAAACAAAGTTCAGGAATATTCCTTTATCCCATTGTTTTGCAAATCCACTAACCTGCTGCCCGCCACGCCCCTCACATTGTTGTGTCACTGCCGCATTACCAGCTGTCCCATTAAAGTCAATGGGACTGTCGGTGAGTCAACAGCGGGTTGGAGGAGGAGCCGCTGCGGGACATAGATGACAGTTGCCCTTTAAAAATTATGATTTAAATTGAGTTGATTTAAATCAAGCCTTTTTGCTAGTGATTTAAAATCGACCTGATTGAAATCAAATCCACCCTGAACAAAGTACTTTAATAACCATTTACAATGCATACCTTGTTTCCCTGAAAATAAGACCTACCCCGAAAATAAGACCTAGTTGTGACCATTCCTAGGGCCGGTGGTGGCATAAGGGGGAACTTGAAGAGCCGAGGGAGAGAATCAGCGGTGCCAACGAAGCCAGCACTAGAGGAAGCGAGGCGGCACTGGAGGGAGCAGAGCCGCATAAGCCGATGCCTCCTCTATAGCGCCGGCTCCTGCCACAGGCGTAGTGATAACAAATGCACTCCGCCTGTGAGGAATCGATATTGAAAGCACACGTCGCTCATTCTGGCCAGCGATTGCTTAGCAAATTGCTCTTGGAAAGGTACGACACCCCTGATGGCCCTGATCACCATATTTTTGTACATGAATACATGTAGACTTTTCTACATGAATACGTGTGGATTGTTGTACATTAAAAATAAATAAGACCTAGTGTGTTTTTTTGAGCCAAAAAAGACTGTCTTAATAAAGCCAACAATATGATATATATATTACAGTTGTAATCAACCCCCCATTGCAAATCAGGTTTATTGGCAACATTTACAAACTTTCAATTGTTTGCAGTGAACAAATCACACAAAAGCAATTGAAATAGGTCAACAAAACAAATGTTTCAAGTGGTTTCCAAAACTCAAATGAAACTGCAACTTTAATGTCTTCTACAGTCTCAAAATTCTTCAACCTCCTGAATAGAATCTCTCACTAGAGCACACGTCTGCAAAACAGGTCTTGCCATGAAGGGGTTGAATAATTTTGAGCCTGCAAAAGGCATTAAAAGTTGCATTTTTAGTTGAGTTTGGGGAAGCCACTTCAAACAATTTGTTTTGCTGACTTTTTTTAAAATTGCTTTTGTGTGATTTGTTCATTGCAAACAACTGAAAGTCTTTACAATTTGGCAATAAAGCTGATTTGCTATGGGGGTTGAATCATTTTGATTAGAACTGTATGTATAGATCATATATAATATCTATAGAGCTATGTGCCCCTATTGATTCCCTGGCTTCAATACTTTACTGACCAGGAACAAGTATGTAGATTAGGAAAGTAAGAAGTCCTTATATGCATACCTGACATGGGTTACCGACGTAAAATACAGATAGTCAGCATATTAGCCAAGCAACCAACATTTGCAGAATTAAGAGGTCAACTATGACATACTCAAGATTACGCTTAGGAAAGTTTTCCTTTCGGGTAAATTTGGAATATCTGGAATAAGTTAACCATTTCATTACCAAGGTTTTTTTTTTAACTTTTAGATGCCCAGACCACATTTTAGCAGCATCAGTTAAGTTGACAATAATTCTAATTTGTCTGCTTAGCCGCAGGTATGGAACTAGGAACACACACAGTGGAGCAGTCATAGATCTTAGCTGCAAAGTTAATTAACATTCTCAAAGCAAGAAGGATTTTATATTTGGACTGAAAAAGGCATATTGTAGTTACAAGGGGGTTAAACTGCATTGTCTGCAGGCAAAATGCTGATTTGGACTTGCTGATTCTGAGAAATCAGCACTTGAACAAACACTTCTCAACACAGAGATCAACCTCCAATTTATTGGGAAGTCCCAGACTTGGAATTGGAGTGGTCAGTAGTACTAAAGCCCCTTCAGAGTAAAAATTAAAGGCGAGATTTCCATGTATAATGCCGGCTTGGACATATAGGTTTTTAGTAGGCTAGACAAAAATGCCAAAACTAGAAAACATTACCTGTCGCGTGTTCTGGTTCTCAATTCTAGTGCTGACATCAGGGTGGAGGGTAAAATCTGGTGCAAAATATTCAAAGTATTCTAAAAATAAATAAATAAAATAAAGAAAGTTATTAATGTAATCTGAAGAGTTACTCGTGTATCATGTTTTGTAGAATGTAATATAAACTCGTAACACTGACCGCTGTAAGGCAACTCTTCGCTGATTGTCTCGTCAACTAGCAATGATGTTTCATAAGTCCTGAAAACCAAAACAAAGGGAAATGGATTTAGTATCCATATATACCACCAAGTTAGTTCTTGCAAACCTGAAGTGTTCTTTATTTAATATTGAATGTATAATGAAGTAGCATGATCGCATTGTAAAAAACATTGATGAATGTCCCCAGCAGACCAAGTGAACACTTGGTCCCTTTCAGATCTGGTTGTTGAGCAGTGTGGTCAGATAAGTAGCCCCCATTGCTAACCGACCATGCTGAAAGAAGGAGGTGGGCTTTTGATTGACTCTGCTTATCTCTGGCAACAGGATAAATGAGAGAGGAGCACCATTAGGGAGGTGCAGGGAGGGGTGGATTTGTAGACTCTCATAGAAGAGGAGAGAACTTCAATATGCAAGAAGAGAGAGGGCTGTGCAAGGGAATGGAGTAGTCCCATTTACTTATACATTCAAAGGCATGCTATGAAAATAACAGAATGTTTATGGGAGGGAAAAACACTACAAGTAAGCAATTAAAATACTTGATTTTCCATTTTTTAAATCTGCAATTTGGAGACAGGGTCTCTTTAAACATTCCAACTTTTTGGGTTTTTCCGCTTCCTTTTGTAAAACCAGGTCTCTTTTTTATAGCCTAAGCAACTGCAGCCACTTACCAGCACCGTGCTACATTGCGGACTGTATAACCACCTCCTCCAAGAACTAGTAAAGGAATATTAAAGCTTTTCACATACTGAACACAATCCCTAAAGGAAAGAAAAACAAGAGTAAGACAGGACCTACATGAACTTTCTGTTGTATAAGAATTACAACAGGCTTCAGAGAACTCTGGGAATTGAAATATATAAAAACTACCTACCCTTGCATTGAGGCTACCCCCGCACTGTAAGGGATTAGTGCTCATTTTTCCTAGGGGGCTCAAATAAAGCAGATATACTCACTTGATCCTCAGTCCCGCAGGCTGCTAGACTGGTCCGTGCAGCCTCTTCTTCCCTGAGCTCTGGCGGTCTAAGGTCCACTGACACCATCATGTCTAATGCAGATCCATAGACCTGCATTAGATTGGAGTATGCCGAGGGAGATAGGTGAGCGCCGACTGCCGCAGGACCGAGGATCAGGTGAAGAATACAGCTTTATTTGAGCCCCTTAGACAAAACGAGAAATTAACTCTTGCAGTGGGGCAAATTGTTTTTTAATTTCTGGAGTACTTTAACTAAATCAGGGTGACTAAGTATGCAGCACTAACAACTACAGGGAAAAGGCCCCATTGATGAACTGCTTAAAAGGAGAACTGTGGGGTTAAGGCTTTTTCCTTAAAGGAGAACTATGGGGTTAAGGCGTCCTCCCGTCACCCTAGGCTCAGCTCGCGGTATACTGAGACGCCACAGCTGAAGCGGATCCCGACAATTATGTTGGGATCCGCCCAGCTGCGTGACTGACAGCTGGCTCTGCCTATCTAGATGCAGAGCCAGCGGTAGCCGCCCCATCCCCCGTCCGTTACGCCAGTCAGCGCTGGCAGAGAGCCGTGACAGGATCGAGAGGTGAGCGAACGCCGGTATGTGTTCGCTCACCTCCTGTTCTACGGAGCCGACCTGTGACAGTCTCATTGTCAAAGGTCGGCAAGAACTATGAGGTGAGTGAAAAGCACGCACCTCATAGTTCTCCTTTAAAAGAGGAGGCAAGAAATATGCAGGAAAACATGCATAATTAAATATTGTGTATTGAACTGACTCTTAAGAATTGCTAAAGCAATTCTCCAAGGAAAGTTAGATTTTGTGCTAACTGACAGAAGGCGACTGTTTGGAGACTAACCCTGGGTATACACGGTTATATTTTCTTTGTTAAACCTGTGGGCTGAATGAAGTAAATATAACAGACTCCTCCATCAAGGCTTACGAGCATGGATGCAGAAATCCCCTGCTGCCTTGCATTATATGTTGTCAGCGGTCTGCCGCTGTCAGGATACCCCAATGGAGCTTGCGGCTGATTACCTGCAAGCTCTGTTTGGCCAACCTCCTTCAAACAGTTGATCCAGGGATACTGGGTGAAGGATGTTGAGAAGGGCACCCACTGTGCAATTTGCACAGTGTATAGCCTACTTTAGAGCCCATAACACATCAGCTGTCATGGGAGGGCTAATGGTTGTTTAAGGTACAAACCCTTATCTGTAATTAACCAACAACAAGTCTATCTTGGCATGGTTAAAGTACTGCCTTTGATAGTGAAAGAAGTGGACAGGTTATCAGTTGCAATATATAAACTTTTTGTTTTTGGGATTTACGTGTCTCCCTTACTACAATGAGCACAATTTACTAACTGGGTAGTTATTTTTCTGCAGGATCCTCTTGATCCCTTTTGCTTTAGTTACATAGTATTTGAGGTTGAATAAAGACATAGGTCCATCAAGTTCAACCTATTGCTTGTATGTATGTGATTCTGCATGTGTATGCTTGTGTAGGAGTCCCTGTGATCTTGTTTTTAGGGGACCTGTACCCCTGTATGTTACGGTCTTTAGCTATGGTGAAATAGCAGAAGAGATTCAGTAAAATGTACAAAGGTATGCTTACATTGGCTAATGCTCCATGTAATAGCTTAAGGAATTCCTGATCATTGTTTTATCATCAGATGGAGAAACAGGGTGTAGGCATATGCGGTTCAAACAACAACAGGACATATAGCACAAACATAAAAACTACTTTACCCATGTCCCCTTATACTCAAGTTAAAACATCCCAGTCGGTCACAGCCAAGTGAGTCAGCTCCACACTAGAAACAAGCAAACATTCAAATAAACACACTGTGACTATTGCAGATTAAAGAAGACCTGTCATAGACATAAAATAACACTGCAAAACCATAAATGGGTTCACAGCTGTATTGTTACTTTCTGACCTTTTCACATGTGCACAAAACACAAATATTCAAGAACAGTAACAAGAGTGGGCTCTAAATGTAGACCCTGAGAGATAGATAGATAGATAGATAGATAGATAGATAGATAGATAGATAGATAGATAGATAGAACAGACTCACAAGTTCTTTTTCATGTTATTCTTCTTTATTATTATTGCTGGGATATTTTATTTTGTATTTATTCAGACTATAGTGTTATAGGGAGAATTCTCAGTGTTACGTGATATGTCTGCTGTGAATGTGGAATTTTACAGTAACCAATCACGAATAAGCCATGCTTACAACTAATCTGAAGTTACCTTTCCCCAAAAAGCAGATATACAGGTCAATTGTCATTGAGCCTTCCTCAGCATTTGAACTTGAAGGATGCCCTCTAAGACGGTACATAGCTCGCATTTCAGATGTGATGGTAGATCTGCAGCTACCATGCACTTTATCATCACGTAACCATATGTGCATCTGTCATCCATCCCATGAACGCATGTATGTAAAATATTTGATAACAGACGTGCAGACATTTGTTGGGACGCATACAGCTTACTAAGCAATGCTTCATTCCTCTTGAAAAGTGATGTATGCATGTATACCTGCACGTCTCTGCTATGTGATGGAGTAAAGCAAAGAATGAGAATAGATAACTTAGTTTTTTTTCTACAAAGATATTTTAAAATAGACTGAACAGATTTGTTGGTACCAATATAAGGCTGGGTTCACACCTAGGCGTTTTTCCGTGCTTTCGTACTCGCGGAAAAACGCTCAAACAGGGAAATGCCATTATTTTCAATGTGCATGGTTCCCATCTGGGCGGTTTTCCACGAGTACGAACGTGCGGGAAAACGCCCTACGCCCAAAGAAGTACATGTACTTCTTTGGGGCGTTTTGGTCGGGCGGTTCCATTGGGATACAGCCAAGTATCCCTCGGAAACGGGCGTTTTTTTTTACCGTGAATCGCGGTAAAAAAACGTGCAAAAAACATGCATTTTCAATACGCCTAGGTGTGAACCCAGCCTAAAGGATTATACATAATTGGATTATAGCAATATCTCAAACTAAATGTTTTATGTAGTTAGAATGACACATCCTCAATCTGGTAATCAGCCAATCAGCCTGTTTAAATGGGGGAAACGTAGTCATTGTGCTGTTTGCCATAATTGTGTGCACCACAGTGAACATGAACCAGAGATCAGAAATTAAATGTATAAACCAGAATAACAAAGGCAAAGTCCATGGTAAGTTTAAAGTCCATGAGGGTATAGCCAACCTCCCTGGCCGCAAGAGGAAACCAGACCTCTGATTGCCAAATACAAAAAGCCAAGGAAAAGTCCAGGGCGATACAAACTGAACTCCAAAGTCAGGGCTCATCAAAAGCCTAATTACATTATCCATTGCTTTTTGGACTCAAAAGAAGACTCTGATGTTAAACGTAAAACATAAAAAAAAACAGACTGGAATTTGCCAAAATTCCGGTCTGGAATCAGGATAATGACTCAAAACACACAGCTAAAAGCACCCAAGAATTGCCAAAAACAAAACATTTGACTATTCTGAAATGGCCTTCTATGAGACCTGATCTATATCTTATTGAACATCTATGGAAATAGCTGAGACAATACAGTCTGGAGAAGCACCCTTCAAAACCAAGACAGTTGGAACGGTTTGCTCAAGAAGAGTGGACCAAACTACCTGTTAACAGGTGCAGAAGTCTCTAAGAGAGCTACAGAAGTTGCTTGTTTACAGTGACTGCCTCTGCAGGTTGTGCAACTAAATAGTAGGTTAAGGGTCCCGGCGATTATTTGTTTTATTATTTAAAAAGATTCTGTTGAAAACTCAAAACCAAAGTCTTATTTATATTAAATATGGAACAATTGTGGATGCCAATTACTTTTGTCACAGAAAATTGTGGGTTCTTCTTTTTGTGTGAAAGAGTACCTACAAATTTGTCCTGTCTGTATATAAATAACAAAATACTTTATTAATTTGTATGTAAAGAATTTAAGTAAAGGTGTGTGTGCCAACAAGTGAGTATGTAATGTCTTTACCTGTAAAACAATACAGGTGGGCTGATAGAAATCTACCACTTGTTTAATAACAGGCTGGAAGAGGTGTCTGTAACCTGTAAGGAGAGACAACAAAAAAGTATCACTATAATCTATTTAGTAAATTAGAACCTGAAAGTTACTTGCAAATATAACTTACAATTATGTTAAAAAAATAATAATGAAAAAAAAAAAAAAAAAACATGCTGGCACATTGCAATACAGCAGTAAGTAAATATCAGGAGTCTAAAGCATGGCTCCCATCATGTCCAGAAGGCCACACAATAGCTTTGGACCCATTCACACTGATTTGTTCCTGTAATGTGAGGTAAAATGTTTGTCTGACAATATTAGTGAATAGTGACACTGTAAAAATATAATCCGTTCCTTAAAATGGGAACATTTAGATAAGATCACTTTGGGTTTGCACAGATAGGAATTAGCACAACTGAAATTTTCACAGGTTTGCAACTGCTAAAATTCTAAATGATATTGTGCTCACTTACACTTAAAGGAGAACTATGGGGTCAGTGCTTTTCCCCAGGGTCAAGGGAGGACACAAACTAGCGTCCTCCCGTGACCCAAAGCTCAGTATACCGTGAGCTACAGCTCGCGGTATACCGGGACCGGCGCAGCCGGGACGGATCCCAACATTACTGTCTGGATCCACCCAGCTGTGTGATTGACAGCTGACTCTGCCTATCTAGAGGCAGAGCCAGCTGTACCCACCCCGTCCATTCCGCCAGCCAGCGCTGGAGGATCGGGGACAGGGGAGGGGGGGGGGATACCTGCAGGGAGCCGTGAGTGACAGTCACGGCTCTCTGCAGGGACAGGATCGAGAAGTGAGCGAGCAATGGTATGGGTTCGCTCACTTCCCGATCTATTGAGCTGACGTGTGACAGTTTCATTGTCACACGTCGGCGCAAACTATGAGTCTGAGTGATTTTCACTCATCTCATAGTTCTCCTTTAAGTATTTGACGCCTATGCAGTAAAAGCAAATCTCATCCAGCGCATCCTACTTTTTTGATTAAAAAAAATACCTTTATTATTATTACTACAGGTGTTTATACAGCGCCGACAATTTACACAGCACTTTACATAGTTGCACATTCACATCAGTCCCTGCCCTCAAGGAGCTTACAATCTAAGGTCCCTATCTCACACGCATACACAGAGGGCCAACTTAGAGAGGAGCCACGTAACCTTCCAGCAGGTCTTTGGAGTGTGGGAGGAAACCGAAGTACCCGGAGGAAACCCACACAAGCACAAGAGAGAACATGCAAACTCCTTGCAGATAGTGACCTTGCCGGGATTCGAACCAGGGACCCCCAGTGCTGCAAGGCAGAAGCGCTAACCACTACGCCATTATCATCACTTCTAATAGTGCAATCAGCCAGCAACAGATCACTACAGCAGTGATCAACAGCTGAGTGGGGGGACAAGACCGAGGAGCATCAACTCTGTCTGAGCCTTGAAACTGAAAGTGCTGTTACATTACACATGACATCACCTCTTCATTGTGTTTGTGTTCACAGTTCCTGCTAGAAGCAATCCTAAGGAGCAGGAGCCCAGTAGTTGACTGACTCAACTCCTGAGCTTTGTGCTGGACCGTAGCTGTCACAGACATCTGGCACTCACAGCACTAAAGCCGACTGTCACCTGCAGGAGATGATGGCATTAAGTATGAACCCTGCTGTACTTCGGACCTGAGAGCACAGTGGGCCCCATGCTGAACACTGGCAGGCCACACGTTGCACACGACTGCAGTACAGTCATTAAACAGCTGATGTACTGTATATTATGAATTACTTACTTTGATCATCTATGCCATCTCTTAATGGCACATTTAGACAGTAATATCTCCCGCTTTCAGCTCCAACTTCATACATGTCACCTGGAATAATACAAATTAAACCAATTAGAAAACTCCCAAAACCACCACATTCCAGTGCTAGAGTTTGCATATAAGAAGCAGCATGATCCCTGTGTCAAGCTGAGCACAGTGAAGCCCTCATCACCACCTACTGTAAACTGTAAACCTATAGGGTTTCATGAAGCCTATTAGTAGCAGTCATTTTCCAGGCATGAGCACTTGACTGCTGTGATGAGGGTAGTACAGCATCCTTGAAGGAGCACATTCAATTCAGATAATTTGCACTGCACTTGGGAAAAACAGCCAATCATTTGTGCATGTTACAGGACCACTGCTCATAGGGTACAATGAACCACATACAAATCTAATTGGGAAGGGGAGGTAAAACTTGGGAAGGCCCTCTATTTTCTTGCTGCAGTGAAGTGGAGCAGAGTTCACAGGGCTTGGAAGCCCCTTACATGACCATCTGCATGAACCCTTAACCAGGCTTGTTCACAACCCACCAATTCACTCCAAAAACAACAACAAATCTGGTAATCTGCAGCGATCTTCCCATATGAGGTGTCAGAGGCCACATTCATATCTGACATTAACAGGGTTATTCACAAAATGGTGAAGAGTTTGGAGAAGGAAGGAGAAGTGAACAATCTAGGCCAAAATAGCTAATTTGGAAAAATTCCCCAATTCAGCTCACTTTCCAGTTCAGCTATGTTGTCCTAGATTGTTCACTTCTCCAAACTCTTCACCCTTTTGTGAATAACCCTGTAAATGTTAGTTTGTACTGCTGGCCCTTTCACAACTTAACGGGATTCCTCTTTCGGTTCTAAATCATTTGTTTACTCTACATTACAGAGAATCCATTGGTGGAAGCATTTTAACAACTGTAGCAGTTGAACAGAGACTCCTGTTTGGGATATTTCACCACTAAGGTCCCCGCAATCTCAAAAAACTAAATATTTGATTTACCAGGAAACAGCAGAAGTATAGATTTGCTTTTTACATCAAAATAAGATTGTCGTGTCCTAGGAATTAGGTTACAAAACCTGGAAATAACAACTACTTTTGCTTCACAGAATGGATCCACATTCAAGTGACACATTACTGACAAATATAAGGCGCTTATTAGTTATGTACAAGTTAAAAGACTATTTCAGGGTTTGCCTTCTCCATTTTGATATCTGCCAAACAAAAGTGATTTTTTATAATTTGTTTACCAACTGATCCAGAAAGTAGACAAAGCTCTTACCTGTACCAGGAAAGAAGTAATTGCCATATTTGTGAAATGAGACGGTCATGACTCTGTCAGTTAGATAAAATGCTTCCTGTACCCCATCTCCATGATGGATATCAATATCGATATAGAGGACCCGTGGATGATACCTGGAGAACAAGAGATCATTTACAAAACTTTCCTGCACACCAATAATGATGCTTTAAAAAGGAAACCTGTATAAGTATATAAGCTGGCATTGCTGACCTCGCTCTGAAAATACTAGAGGGGAATTTATCAAAACTGGAACAGAGAGAATCTGAAGCAGTTGCACGCAGTAACCAATCAGCTTCTCTCTTCAATTTGCTTAGTTAAGCTTTGAAAACAAAAGATAGAAGCTGTTGGTTGCCATGGGCAACTGCTTCACATGTTGCCTGCTCCAATTTTGATCAATTCCCAATCAATAGTTGTGATTTGCCTTAACAACCACCATAAGAAAACAGCCACAAACATTTAAAAGAGAACTATGGGGTCAGTGTTTTCCCCCATAGTTCTCTTAGGGGTCACGGGAGGACATAAACTAGCAACCTCTCGTGTCTCAAAGCTCAGTATATCGTGAGCTACAGCTCGCGGTATACTGAAACCGCCGCAGCGGGGACGGATCCAGACATTACTGATCGAGATCCACCCAGCTGTTCCTCCAGTCAGCGCTGGAGGATCGGATCGGGGAGGGGGAATCCTTGCGGGGAGTGGTGAGTGACAGTCACGGCTCTCTGCAGTGACATGATCGAGAAGTGAGCGAGCAACTATGTGTTCGTTCACTTCCCGATCTATTTAGCCGACGTGTGACAGTTTCATTGTCACACGTCGGCTCGAACTATGAGGCTGAGTGATTTTCACTCGCTTCATAGTTCTCCTTTAAGATAAATAACACAACTTAAAGTGTAGTTTAGCCTGCAGGTGTCACTTGCCCATCAGTTCTAAATATAAATGTAACTTGGTGTTGCAGAAATCACTGATCATTTTTTCTGTATACTGACAGGGGCAATTTGAAACTGAACTAAAAAGGGGCTTTATTGAATTTGCTATAAGCAAATCACTGTAAAAGCTGATAAAGATGTTAAGCATATTGCAGGACTGGCATTTGTAGATTAAAACCTAGCTTTAATAAGCGCACAATTTATTTTAATGAAAGTAATTTCACAGCCCCGACATACCGTCTCGGCTAATTCTTAGATCTACTGACCATAAAAATATAGAAATAATTACATATATGCTGTCATAAGGATTCTTAGTTTCAGCTAATACATATTTCCTACATCTTACCAGCTACTGAAATTGCATGTTCCTTTATCATAATTTTATCATTTCCATGTCCTAAAGTAGGTGCCGCGGTTTACCTAGACTAAACGTAGATGCTAAACTACAGAAGTTGGAGGAAATGAGATGATGTCTGTCACTAAGCCAGAAGATTCTTACTACCCTTCTCTCTTTTTACATTGTTACTTTTAGCCCTAAATAGAGAGGGAAATGTTTAGAACCTCTGAGGGGTTTGAAATGCTGTCTGTGCCCGTTATAGTTTTGACCGATACCTGCCCCCTAGACAGTAATTAAGGTGTCATCTCCTCATTGGCTACATAAAAAGCAGTGACAATCTGGCAGAAGTTCTAGACCAGCTTTGCTCAATCAATTCCATTGAACCCTGGAGTTCCTCCAGAGGTCACTAGGGTTTTCTTTGAGCAATGAACATTTTTTTGTCTCAGTAACAAACACATCAACGATTTTTTAAAGTGCCTTGACAATGAGCAGTACCCCCCCCCCCATCAATAATATAGGGGGATCCTTCCCACATCCATCACCAATGTAAGAGGCCATTACGCTGACCATTTATGTAAGAAGGCACTTTTCCACTGACCACCAATGTAAGGGGGCATTTCTCTGTCGACCATCAATGTAAGGGGGCATTTCTTTATTACATTGTAATTTAGCAAGCGGTTAACTTCAGCACTGGTGACAGTTGAGCCTCACATTTTATTTATCTCACCTCGGCTTTAAGGTAGATGTGATGTCCCTGATACAGATCACTGCCAGGTCTGAAAGAATCTATGAACACAACCCATTATGTGACGGACCCCGGTATTCAGGATGAGGATGCCCGCCGCTGTATTCTTCCTTGCTCAGGAGATATTGCAAACCGCTGACCTTTAGCTCCTAGTTACTAGTCGAGACTCGAGTGTAGGGTGAAACAAACTCTGATTTATTAAGAAACTGTGCAACCTTTTATACAGAAAGTGATCAGATAAAACTATAATCCCATCACATCCACCCTGCCCTCCCTGGACATTCTGTCTGCACAACACCACAGGGGTCCACCTGCATAACAGCTCCAGACAGCCATAGCAGGAGCCTGGCCAGAATGTAATTGTCCTGAGCTCCTTCAGAGTACAAAGAGAGATAACGAGGGATGGTGCTGACAGTCTTTTGATAAGCAGGTTACCAAGTATAACATAATTAAACACAACTCAACACCAATACACATATAACCCATAAACTGATGACCATGTCGTCACAGGCTTCATATACTAAGCCTAAACAAATTTGTTCCCCAATTAATAGTTTAAAATCATTTTATAAAACATTCTTCCCTGGCTTCACGTTTATGGCACATTACTTCTAAGCCGTGAAGCCGAACCTATTCAGGCGAGTGATGTCACCACTCTAGAACCATTATGCAGTTCATGGCACAATGAACGGCAGTTAACCATCTGAGGTTTCGCCCACAGATATTTACCATTGTCACAGATGCCCTTCACAAAGCATTTACTTCAATGAATTTCAAAGTTGGATTATGTTACAAATAAATGTGACTAATAGATTGGAACTAAATAACAGTTATACACAAGAGAGAAAAAAAAAGTAAAGTCTTACTTGAGAAGTTCTAAAATACCAATCACAATGTCATTGACATAACAGAATCCAGAAGCCTGCGAGAGAAAAACAAGACCTGTAGAACACACTTTTTCACAATTTTACTATATGAAAAAACACCCATCTAGAGATCACAGGTTTACTCCCAGACCATGGGGTCAGGCCCGTGCCTCCCTTGGAGCCACTTAAGGTTGGACTCCAAGGGGCACCAATAAGGCTAGAGTGTTCATAGGCTCAACGTTATTAAGCTCCCTGCCCGGTCGCTGTGGCAGTCACACAGGCAGCTGATGTGTCCTAGACTACTCAGTGATGCTGATCCTGATGAGAGTACAGGGTTAACCTCACTAAGCCTACCTGTGGCAGGCACAATGGTCGGGAGCTATGCTCATTGATGCCGAGTCTGCATTTTTATAAGGCTTAGCGTCAAATGAGGTAAATGCTCGAGGTGTCCATTTTTGCCATTCAGGGGAGGGGTGGGGGAGGGGGGGGTTTGCATGTGGGGTATCAGTCTACATGTTGCAGAAAAGAGGTATTTCTCTGGTCCCTACAGAAAATTGTTATTTTCATTTCTAATACTCATCTGCACTAGAAAAAAAAGTTGGACAGTGACCGGTTGTAATGGAGACATTTATATTTCTTTCTTGCGCTAACATCTCAACACACATAAAAATGAAAGTCTAGGTAACTATTGCTTGACTATATAAACACAATAGCATGGCTGGAGTGATATTAAAGACAAATCGTCTATATACAAGGAACAGTAAATGTCATCTGTATTGGCTTATAAAGGAACTCCAGAAATGTAAAAAAGCTAACCCTTGCAGTGGGGCTAGACCAGTCCCTGCAGCCTCTACTCCCCCAGTTTAAGCTCGGCTGACCTCATCACATCTAATGCAGTTCATTCACCTGCATTAGACGTGAGGACACTGAGGGACATACAACAGCTGGAGTGGAATGGGAGGGTGGTGAGCACTCACCACCTCAGGACCAAGGATCAGGTGAATATATATTCTGTATTCTGACCCCTAGAGAAAAATGGGCAGTTATCCCTTGAAGTGCGGGGGTAGCCCCTCTGCAAGGGTTTAATTTTTTACATTCCTGGACTTTAAAAATGGTAAACTATTTTAGGATATTAACGTTCCAGCAACATTTTATGTTTAGTTTGTAATTATAAATGCTCATGGATTGGTCATTTTTTCCCCCTCACTATATAGGCAACTACCAAAATGTAATAGAATATCAGCCTTCTTTAATACCCTGAACAGCAGCACTCCGACTGGGAGATGGAAGGCCAGTGCTCTAAGCCAATCAGACACTGCTGCAAAACACTTTCTGACAGTGAAGATCCTGACAGGAAGAAAGGCCAGAGTGAGCAGAGGGCTACTCCTCCTACACTGACCAGTGCTCTCGAACAAGATGTACTGCTGCTGAGTGTGTTTCAATGATCTGGCTATGCTTTCTGCAAGAAGTTCCCGAATTACAAAACTGGATTCCCAAAATGACAAACTGTATTCATTTGTTTGCCTGAAGATCAGCTTAAGTAAATGTGCAGCATTAGTGTTTCCCCTTATAATTACACATACAAAAGTATTCTATTATTACCTCAAATTTTTTAGCATGGTGAAGTCCTCCAGCCCAGTTTATTGCAATGTCACAAATCTGCGGAAAAACAGTATTAGGTAAGCACTTCAAATTTGGAAAAACTCAATGCCATGTGTATCATTTTTTTACAGTACTAACAATTAGCAGGTCTATAGTCTACCTGTCCAATGGAACTTTCTAAGCTTGGTTTCCCACTGAATTCAATCTATTCTAGGGCTGCAGCTAACGATTATTTTCATAATCGATAGTTGGCCGATATTAAGTTCGATTAATCAGATAAAAAAAAAAAAGGCTCCAGTGATGGACTACTAGTTTCTTTTGAGACTGTAGTCCATCACAGGAGCAAGCTTGGCACGGTGGAAGTAAAAAAAAAAGTGTGGTGTGCAATATAGTACATTATACAGCGGCGCAATGCAGGATACCAGCAGCTATAGAGGAATGCAGCAATAGTAAATTATATTATAATGCACTATTGCTGGGATTTGTAGTCCTCTGTAGCTGGCGTTATTCTGCATTGCACTGTATATAATTTATTATTGCTGGGATCTGATGTATTCCTCTATAGCTGGCGTTAGTCTGCATTGCGCTGTATATTATTTATTATCGCTGGGATTTGTAGTCCTCTACAGTGCGCTGTATAATGATTATACGGCGAAATGCAGTATACCACCAGCTATATAGGAATAGAACAAATGCCAGCAATAGTACAACATTATACAATAATGTACTATTGCTGGTATTCTGCATTGCGCTGTATAATGATTATACTGTGCAATGCAGATTACCACTGACCAGTTATAGAGGAACTACATTTCCCAGCAATAATACATTGCACAGCGCAATGGAGAATACCACCAGCTATAGAGGAACAACAAATCCCAGCAAAAATACATTATACAGGCTGTTTAATGAATTATTGCTGGGATTTGTTGTTCCTCTATAGCTGCTAATGTTCTGCAGTGTGCCGCTTAAAAAAAAAAAAAGGAAAGTGCCAACCACATGTGCAAAATGGAACATCATTCAAGTTGCACTAGTTTGTATTGAGGGCAGGCAAAGATCAGCTTATTTTAATAGTGAGCACTTTTCAATTTAGTCAGGATCTCTCAAGGAAACCTCTTATTATTGAAAAGGGAGGGGATGGGGAGGGCCCTTTTCAATAATAAGAGGTTTCCTTGAGAGATTCTGACTAAATTGAAAAGTGCTCACTATTAAAATAAGCTGATGTCATTACATCCAGATCACTACAGTTACATTTCTAGAGTAGTCCACTCCTGACTTACTTTTAGAAGGTGGGCCCCTCAATGGTCTGCAGGCCCGCGGCGGGTGAGGGAGCTCACGGCTAGGAGGAGACCAGCGGCGTGCGCGGCTTCAGCCTGTTCGGTGGGCGTGGCTTATGCGGCCGCGGCGGCCTGTGCGGTGGGCACGTCGGGAGCAGCGTGTGACGCGTGACGTGCGACTCAGGCCGCGTGCGGAGCCCCGAACAGGCTAAGCAATCGATAGCCAACGAATCGACGATCGAAAACGTTGCCAATGTTTTCAATCGTCGATTTTAATCGACTTAATCGATTAACTGTTGCAGCTCTAATCTATTCTATACAGAAATACATAAACCCAACCCAAAATCACACTGGGAGGACTATTTATAAAGAAGACATTTCAAATTTACTGCATTTCTTTTCTAATTAAAACCATTTTGCAATTTAATTTCCTACAATTTGCTCGAAAAATTAGCAAGCTACAGGCAAGAGATTCCCACTGACATTACCAAATCTATATCTATCTATCATGATGGAAGACATTACAAAGCAGCCAGAGATTTTAATAAATAGAATGCTTGGAACCCAGCTTGACTGAAAGGCGAGCAATTACATTTGAATTTCAAAGTCAGGGTACATTAAAAGAAAATATAATAAAGCGCTTCAAACATACAGTAGTTTGAATGTTAACACGCAGGATTTCCCTCTAGTATCTCACCCTGATCACCTTTTTCAATAAGGTAAAATGCAGCTCTGAGGCTGCTGGAGCAGCAAAATTCCCAGGATCTGCATTGTACAGAGAAGGCCACACCACTTATAGCACTTCTACAGGTGACTACTATGGCTATCCAAGAGTGAAAAGGCAACGATCAAGATAAAAAAAGGTCATACCTTAGTTGGTAAACAAGACCCCTTTCACCAAAGCCTACACAGAAGTATAATACTTATATAAATGTCTGAGGACAATGTTATGCAAAAGGGGATGACGGACTTAACCACTTATTGCAGTAAAAGTCTTTACATTTACTTGGTTTAAAGATTATTAAAGTGTATTACTGCTTAATAGATTACAATACAGAAACTCTAGATTTTGTGGGATGACCCAAAAGAGATGCAACCTAATATTAATTTGAGCAGGGTTTAAGCACAGAGATTTTATAGATCTTATCATATTGCCTGGAGAATGATGATGTGCAGAGTAAGTATGATAAAGTAATCAGTGCGAAGAGAAGTAAAATGTAATACATTTACAACCTAGCACATTTATAGAAAGATGCCTTAGCCACACACCGGAATCAAATAGTAATTAAATGCACATCATCTGCCTACCAAACTTCCAGGCACCGTGCAGTGCAGAGATCATTCACTATATATGATCACTGAATTACTTTATCTGTGGAGAAACTAGCAGTTCATGAACCCCAGGATTCATAAATTGCCCAATTCTCTGCGTCTGTAGTCAACTGGCACATTAATGTCTAAGGCTCCATTCACACTTATATTGTAGGTGCGATTAGAGAATCCTGCATCAGGAACTTGTGATTTCTTGCAGCAGGAATGCCTAATCTGCTGTTTACAAGCGGCAACTGTAACCCATTCAAGTTAACAATGAGGCGACAGCCACTGTATTTGAATGTCGGCACACCGCATGTAATATAGTATGTGATACGATTACATGCGGTTAGGAATCAATCACTCTCCCTGGACGTACAATCTAAACTTTCAGGGATAGTAATGGATTCCTTAACCGCATGTAAACGTATCACATAGGATTACATGCAGTGTGTCAGTGTTGAAATGCAGCAGCTGTCACCCGATCATTATTTGAATGGGTGACAGCTGCCAATTGTAAATGGCAGATTAGGAAGCGGCAGGAAATCGTCAGTTCACAACGCAGGAATCCCTAATTGCACGCAAAATTCAGAGTTAGGACTTACCGGTAACTCTATTTCCATTAGTCTTCCAGGACAGCATCATGACAGCATCACGAGATGGAATCTCCTCCCCCACACACAGGAAACACGTCACTTAATCTGTTTAAAAGACCCTCCTCTCCTCCACTCCCTCAGTCATCACGAGAACCGAAGGCAAGCTGGAAAAAGACAAGGCACATACAGGCAATACCACCACATCACATTAATACTACAAGCATCAATGGGCGGGCAGTTGCTGTCCTGGAAGACTAATGGAAATAGAGATTCTGAAATCAGTGAAAATACTTCCTGGTTCAGGACTCATTCGTCCTGCAGTATCCGATGCCGACTCAGATAGTCCGCCAGAGGAGATTCCATCTCGTGATGCTGTCGTGATGCTGTCCTGGAAGACGTTATGGGAAATGTAGGTGTGAATGGGACATGAGACACAAAGAATCAGAATAACACTTAAGATGCTCCATATACAGAGAACTGAGATTTCACTCCATCTCTAGCAGTTATTATTCATAAAGATCATTACCTTGTTGTTTAGCTGAGTAGCTCCTTGTAGTGACGCTCCTGTGTACCGAGAACAAAACTCAAATAGGCCGGGGAAAACAGGACTGTAAAGAAACAATGGAAGATTATGAAAATCTAATACCGTACATAAGTTCCACCTAGGTAAGGAGCAATGATCCACATTCCCTTTGCTGTTAACTAAACCATTGTAGCCAACTCTATTCTCATATACCCCAAACCAATGTATGTTGTGAAAGTAGGTGTGAGAAAATAGCGTCTCGGCAACATTTAAAATGTAAGAGAAAGATTTCAAAGAAACCTGTCATGACAGAAACATGCAGTCTGCCATTGCAACCCTGTACTTCTGAAAATATCAGTTGCCTGGCTGTCATCTGATCCTTTTGTATCAACCACTGACCTGAACAAATATACAGATTAAGACTACTTTCTGAAATTCCTGAACTGTATACTTGTTGAGGTCAGTGACCCAAAATATAAATACCAGTGCTGCGCTTCTCGACCATTTTTTTGCAGCGCCCTTTAAAAGTAGGCAGAATCTTGAGACACACCAGTCTAAAATGTAACAATGTGCCATGTGACCCCTCCAAAAGCCATACCAGACCTTTATCCAAGATAAACTAAAAAAGTGGGGTTCCTCCCTTCACATCAGAACCCCCCCCACCTCAGGGGCCTCTTTCTTTCGCATCAGCATCCCCTCCTCTGACACTAGGAGCCTCCCTTCACATTTGGGAGCCCTCCCTATATCAGGAGCCCCCCTTTACGTGAGAAGTCTTCTTCACATCAGAGTCCTCAGTGTCCCCTTCAAATTCAGAGTCCTACTATCACATTAGGAGGTGCAGCAGCATGGAAGAGGGTATGAGGTGGAGCAGGCCTGAAGGGAAGAGAATGTTTGTCTTTTTCTAACTGAAACCCACCATACCTGGATTAGCTCTACTTGTTTCCATGGTGCTGGTGGCCGGCCGACCTGCCCCATGAAAAGGCAAGGTGCTTTACAAAAATGTCAAGAAGCCAGAAGGCACCCTGGTTAAGAAAAGTTGTACTAGTTAGCATAACCGCCAGCTAACTAGCATTTACAGAAGAGGAAAAGCAATAGCAGCCGACCTATTATTCTCTTGACGAGTTTACTTTAACTGCCTGTGTCCAAATCCACATATGACAAACTGCTGGTGGGAAGGGTTTGGAAAGTAAAGATCTAAGCAAAGCACAGCCCCTAAACAGATATTTCATAGCCTGTAGCAATTTGAACACACGATTGCCATCTGAGGTCCTATTTTATTCTTTTTTCCTCTTTATACAATTGAATGTCATTATATTCCAATCAGACTATAATGCAATAGGTTCGGACATCACTGTGATATCTAGGCTGGATGGTGGTAATAACATAACAAGTGCTTGTAGGCTTCGGAAGTGTTATTGCACGGTGAGATTTTACATTTTAGAAAGCCCAGGCAATCAGTCAGCTGTTATTTTTCTGTTGAAAAGGACTAATCCAACCTGCTCACATTCCATTGAAAAGAATGAAAGCTGGCAGACTGAAAATTGAGCAACAACAAATAGGACTTTCGAGTGTGGTACAGTGTGCGCTGTATAGCAGCCAATATAAACCAGATCAGTTAAGAATGCAGTATACAAAGAGGTTAAAATGTTGCCTCCATTGAAATCCACACTTCACAGTAATGAATTAAGATAATGGTGGCATTACCAAATCTCATTTTGTTACATCGAAATCTGTTCCCAAATTACCTCATGTGGCCAAACCCAAGGCAAAAGATCACATGGACTCTGGCTACTAGAATCATAGTGGGTGTTCCAAATAATTAGTAATAACACGCTCTAGAAAATCCATAAATCAGACATACCCCGCAAGGTAGACTTGCAGAGTCATCATACGACTGTCAAGGCAAGATCTTTGTACAGTGTTACCATGCTATAGTTGGAACTCGCATACAGTATGTAGTGAGCAAATATAGGTGGACCATGTATTAATACAAAGTTTACATGAAACAGGGTTTTTATTACAAGGATTCATTTACATCACTTTTATATGAATATTTGAAATAATTAAAAAGTACCAAAGTGTGCAAGCAAGAGCAGCTCCAGCTAATTTAAATGTTGTGTTAATGCTGTTTAGGGCTGCAGCTAACGATTATTTTCATAATTGATTAGTTAGCCGATTAATCAATTAATTGACATGTGTAGTGCAATCATCGTTTTTCTATGTAGGTGCAACCAAATTGCGTTTCTGTTAGTATACGCACGTTTGCAGGGTTGGGGGGATTTTTAATTTTTCTCATTGCCATCACATGGGGGGGCTCATAAGCCCCCTATGTGATGGCACATTGGAGGTGACAGGGTCTCATTGTGACATTAAGGATATTTTAGACCCCTAGTGTCGCCTTTCCACTTCACTGGATTCAGTGGAATGTAAATACAGTGGGCAGTGGCAGGGAGCAATAGCCAGCCTGCTATTGGATATTTTCAATTGAGCTATGTAGGTGCAACCAAATTGCGTTTCTGTCCACTCCTTTTCCACTTGATTAAACTGTTTCCTTTTGGTTATATATCTCAAAGTGTCAGCTCTCCGTGCTCTGTATTTGTTTATTAATGCACTCACCAGACATACCCAGAAGTTTTCGCTCTCAAAGAAGGGAAGGACCGTTCCATGTGTTCACAGGGCAGGAGGGGAGAGAAGCCGTAAATCTTGACTACACACAGAACGGACTTTCCCTTCTTTGATTAAGAACAAAAACTTCTGGAGACAGGAGACTTCCGTTTCCTGTCATGTGATTATATGCTGTGCAGTACCTAGGAAAATGCTCTGAACCAACTACAATGGAAGTTCTGGGCCCGGCCATGCTGCTTGGCAGGTGTGTCTGAATCATTAGACTGACTATACACAATTACAAACATTTTGGCAAATAAGACAGTTTAAATATACTTATTTTGACTGATTTGTAGCTGCACGTCTCCAGTTCAAATGTAATAAGTTTCTCTCTCGATTATGCATTGTATACACTATTACTTACCAGTCATCACCAACATTGAAAGCGTTGAGACTTTTAGTGAAGCCTTGCATGTTATTGGGGCTCACTCTCTGCAAGAAATCAATGTAGTCTTCGGAGTGAAAGCGGCACATGTCATGTTGTGAAGCTTGATAGGGTTTAAAGACCTGCAAAGCAATGTACACAGATAATGACAATAACACTACATTCTCCAGAGCTGATTTAAGAAACTGCAGAGAAGAAAAGTGGTTTTGTTGCCTGTACCTAACCAATGTTGTGTTTAATATAATAGAAACAGAATTAAAGCTATAAGACAAAAACAAACCCCATTTCGTCTTAACTGTGCACCTATGTCAGCCAGAGTCACAGTCCATCTCCATGTGCGCAGCAAGGAGTCAATGGCCATGTCCATTGAAGCCACTGCCCCCCATGGCATTAGACAGTGGAGAGCCGCAACTTTAGCCACAGAGCCAATCAGACCAGCTCTGCCTCCTGTGATTGTTTTACATTGCCAAGCCCTCCCTTTCCTTTCACATTAGAGGCAGGGGAAAGTAAATGAAGCAATGAATGGATGAGTAGTCTATTCATTACTTCCAAGTAAAAACAAGCTGCAGCAGCAAAAAGTAAATAAAGTTTCAAATCATTTTATCCCGTTTAACCTCCCCCCTTCACCTGCTTATGTTCGATCCATTCTCTCTGTGGTCTGACCTGTTTATTAACCCTTTCACCTCCCTGATCCTGCACATCCATGCAATAAACCCTTCAACTCTATCCTCCCAAACCTGGCCAAACCTTTTTTTTTGCCATAGTTCTCTTTAGGGTCACGGAAGGACATTTACTAATGTCCTCCTGTGACCCAAAACTGCAGTCAGGAAAGATCCCAACAACATTGTCTGCTTCCACTCCACTGCTTGATTGACAGCTGGCTCCGCCTCTCGAGACAATTGTCTGCCCCCTCCCCTGTCTGTTCCTCCAGTCAGTGCTGGAAGAACGGAGAGGGGAGGAGGAATCCCTGCATGGAGTGGTGATTGACAGTCACCATTCTCTGCAGGGATAAGATTGTGAACGGACCATTCAGTGATATGTGATCGCTCAGTTCTTGATCAATAGAACGAACGTGTGACCACTTCAGTGTCACACATTGGCTCTAACTAAGGGATGAGTGTGTTTCACTGATACCATAATTCTCCTTTAAATACCACATAAATATTTGTCCCCCACACATGTTATAAAGTAGGGCTGCAACAACTAATCGACTAAGGCGACTATAAATCGATGATGGAAAATGTTGTCAACGTTTTCCATCATGGAATAGTTGACTTTCGATTAGTTGACCTGCTCACCGATTCTCCTCGCCGCAGGCCGCTTCTCCATCACTGGAACCTTTTTTTTTTTTAAATCCAATTCATCGAACTTAATATTCAGCTAACTAATCGATTTTAAAAATAATCGTTAGCTGCAGCACTAATATAAAGTTAATTTTGTTACAGTGTTGCATGATGGGAGCCAAACTATCACAACGCTGAAAAATGAAAAAAATGGCCTGTTAATGGAAGGGGTGGAATGTGCTGGTACTGAAGTGGTAAACGAAAGACTAAATAACTGTACTCTTACACTAGGGATAAAAGTCAACCCCCCCAAATCCCACATCATGTCATGTGTTGTAAAAGAATGGTCTTATGATCTTGCTTTTATTTACAACAATGTTCTGAGCTGGACTCCTTTACTATGAGAGTGTCTTCCAATTTCTTTCCAACCCCATCCTGTTCTAAAATATAGTGCATTATGTATATGTACATTATGTAAGTTGCTATTCCAAAATATGTAAACTGACTTCGGAAAAGAAACAAAATCTGAAACTTAGGTAATGTATTTGTACGAATTACATCTGACACTTACAATCATCTTTTTATACAGTCCATAGTGGAGAACCAGACTGTGTGTGAGAGCCAGACGGTGTGGTTTCATGGGATGACCAGTGCCTGAAAGAGGTGACAAATGTTATTTTTTTTACCCTAAAGATGTCTGTCATGACATCACATAATAAAATGAATCTATTAATATACAGTGTACAGCGCATACTTTCTCATATCAAAGCAGGCACTCGGCCCCATCACACTGGCACAGCCACAAGGCGCTCTCGGCCCCATCGCACTGGCACAGCCACAAGGCGCTCTCGGCCCCATCGCACTGGCACAGCCACAAGGCGCTCTCGGCCCCATCGCACTGGCACAGCCACAAGGCGCTCGGCCCCATCGCACTGGCACAGCCAGAAGACGCTCGGCCCCATCGCACTGGCACAATCAGCAGACACTCGGCCCCATCACACTGGCACAACCAGCAGACACTCAGACCCATCACACTGGCACAACCAGCCGACACCAGGCCCCATCACACTGGCACAACCAGCAGAAACTCAGCCCCATCACACTGGCACAACCAGCCGACACCAGGCCCCATCACACTGGCACAACCAGCAGAAACTCAGCCCCATCACACTGGCACAACCAGCAGACACCCAGCCAGCGTCCTATTAAAAAGGTAATAAACATGTCATACTGCAATACCCAATACACACATCGTGTCAGGCACAGCCATAATAGCTCCTCGTGTGATTCGTCTCACCATAGTGAAAATTCCCGACGTCCGGATCGTAGAAATACGCGACCGTTTTGGACATATTGGGAAATGAGTATCCTGCTGCTGCCAAAAAAAAAAATAATGCAGCCACTGAGAGCCGCCACTTCCGGTAGCGCGCAGGAATGACGTCGCCCGGAAAGCGACCACACACTTACGATGTCGCGTCACTAGTTACCAAGCAGAATACGCTCACTGGGGCCAGAGGATGGGCGTGGGGATTGTGCAGCGTGAGCGCTGTCATTGAGAAAGCAGGGGGACTCCAGTGAGGATTTGCAGGTTTTTCATAGGCCTGAGCCTACTCATAAAAGTTTTTTTTTAAACGGCAAGAGGTTAATGTGTGATAGATTGGGGAGTGGTTACGCTGCACCCTGCATGCATTTGCAGTGTACCCGCTCTACTTCAAAAAAGCGTGTGACAGCCATAAAAATGTAAAACAAGAAGTCACCGTACACCTTTCTTTGTGGCACACTTGTCACTGGGCCAGGATCCAGGGAGATCAGAGGATCCCAAATCCCACAGGAAAGTTCTGTGCAGTGTTGGATCTTCTAAGGTTTTGGATGCTCAGCTTTCCCAGGATATTGGAAGAATGGCCAGCTGCATGATGAGGTGTAAAGGGAATATATTTTAATGGATTTTGGGCCCCATGGTCCTGGCACTTTGATGCAAGATATGCTTTAAAACGTATCTTATCTAGCTCATCTCCGTGCTCTAAATAAGAATTTAAAGAAGAGCTCCAGGATTTTTTTGTTATTAACCCTTGCAGTGGGGCTACCACCTGCACTGCAAGGGTTAAGTGCCTGTCTGTGTGCTAAAATAACAAAGATATACTTACCCGAAGCTCCAGGTAACCAGCTGTCACATCGCTCCCTCCAGCCTGCCCCCCCCCCCCCCCCCCCAAAAAAAAACTCATGTCTGTATACTGTGTATAGACATTGATGATTTACGGGATCTTAGACCGCTGCAGAGGAGGGGAGAGAGGCTGGAAGGACCGATCAAAGCATTGTGTGATTCTAACTTTGTTTTTTTTACTACCTAGACACAAACGAGAAGTTAACCCTTGCAGAACAGGGGTAGCCCTACTGCAAGGGTTAATGCAAATATTCCTGAAGTTCTTAAAAAAATCCTTGTCTCTGTGAAAAAAACTCATGTATTGTAAAACCTGTTATATTCCTGGAGGACAGTGAGTGTCACAGGCATTGCTTAAGGTCAGAATAGTCACAGTATTTGCAGAGAGCAGTGTGTTTTTCCTTGAAACCATGTGATTGCAGCTATTGTGTCTGTAAAGGGTTAATTGGGGAGTTATCCTACTCCAGTGACAATCCTTCCCAGCCTGTTGGCCTTACATTGTTGTCGCACAAGTTGGAAAAATTCTTTGTATGGGGAAACTGATAGTGTCATTGTCACAAATAGCACTACATAAGGGCAGGGAAACCGTGGAGAAAGGACCAAATCTTCTGAGATCACAGCAGGGCCTGTATAGGTGGTGCTCAGGGTACGGCTGGCCACAGAGCCTTGCCTGATATTGTTTATAAGGGCCACATAGCCTTGAAGGATGAAGGTGTTGAGGGCCTTGCTGGGTTTTGGTGGTGTTAAGGGTAAAGCTGGCCTTGCACTCCTGGAAGGTGAGGGTGATGAGGAAGTATGCCAAGTGTAGATGGTGTTGAGGGTTATGCTTTAATAGATGTAGTTGGGGTGAAAGTAAGTCCGGGCACAGAGCTTTGGCAGGTGAGGGTGATGAGGGCCTTGCCAGATGCGATTGGTGGTGTGTGTAGGGGTGATCACAGAGCCTGGGTAGGTGAGGTTGTTGAGCAATCATGCCAAGTGTAGATGGTGTTGAGGGTTATGCTGGCAAAGGATGCAGATGGGGTGAAAGTAAGTCCGGGCACAGAACTTTGGCAGGTGAGGGTGTTGAGGGCCTTGCCAGATGCGATTGGTGGTGTGTGTAGGGGTGACTACAGAACCTTGGTAGGTGAGGGTGTTAAGAACTAAGCAAGCAATATGTATAGGTTTTGTTTAGAATAAGGTTGGCCACATAGCTCTGGCAGGTGAGAATGTTAAAGACCTTGCCAAATACCAGTGATTTTGTGAGAAGAGGTGGCCACAGAAGCTTGGCAGCAGCTGATCCTGAGGGCCTTGCCAGATGTAGGTGGTGATGGTATCTGTTTTGGTTAAAAGGATACCATAGGGATTCTGTCAGCCATAGTAGCCTGCATGACTAGGGAAGTCAGCCTAGTGGAAGGACAAATGTAAATTGATTTCACAGTTAAAGTTCATGCCATGTTCAGGAATGTAGCTTTGTGTAGAATCAATTGATCTGCCATTGTCTCTTTCACACTTACAGAACTGTATTGAGTGAAAAGCAACACATGTGTCCTTGTAGGACTGTTTTATGTTTTCTTATTTATTTTTGTTCTTTCATTTTAGCTTGTTGTTAATTTGAGGGCAGCACTTGTTTTTTGCTGCTGATGACCTCCCATTGCTATGACGATTCAATGAGTGGTACGGCAACACATAGTTGTGAAGCCGGCCTTAAGGCCTGTTCACATGATTTTCAGGTCTGGATCAGGTGCGGATCTGCAGACGCGTTGCTATGTGTTTTTGACGCGTTTTGCGCTTCCGGACCGCTTCCTGACCAGACAAAATGTGACATGCAGTCGTAACCTGAACGGACTGCGCACGTGAGAACTGTAGCCCATAAAACACACAGGGATACATTGGGATGCATTTTTAGTGCAGGAGCGTACGGATCAGGTCAGCACATAAAACAGACGTCGTGTGAACAGGCCCTCAAAGTTTTTTACCCAAGTGAAGCATGCTATTCCTTATCCTGAAGTACTCACTATACAAGGGAATGATAGGCAGTGTTCTGACTGTCAGACTGTACGGAGATAGGTACACTTTAATTTACTTGGTTACTAGATTTGATGAGTAGCAGTGTTTCCGTGGCAACAGACCATTAGACCTACTACTGATTTAATCTTCTATTCATACTCACTCTGTGCCACACATCAATGAAACACAAAGCCTTTCAGTCTAATTAAGGCTCAGATTATCGTCACACCTAGCTGTGCTTTTCAGTTAGAGAATCCAGGTTGGATTCTTTTTCTGTAAATTCTTACAGACTTAAGACTTAACTAATGTAATCTACCTCAATCTTATTGCTAATCATTACTTATAATTGCTGATCATGTACATACAGGTGCAATGTCTATACATCCAATCTTCTTCAATATAAAGTGGAAAGTTCTAAGTGCAAGGTACGGTAACCAATAGCAACCATTTATATGTTAGTTGTTGACCAGTGGATGGATTTCAGTTTGCCATTCTGGGTACCTCACTTTGCAGTTTGTGCCTTGAGCTATGTTAAGCCTGGCAAGCTGATCTGAACTGAATGAGATCCCCATTTATATAAAGTTGGCAAGGTGTACATGTTGCATAGGGTATCTCAAGATTGCCTAGAAGTGATCAGCAAAGATTGTACACAATGTAAAAACCTTCATGCATACAGTATAACATCATAAGTCATCACCCATCTGTCTGTTACTCCTCCTCTTTACTCATTCATTACTCTGGTACATGCTTCCAGACAGTTGACGGTAGGTATGCTATACAGAATTTATGATGTTAGTTCAGACAGCATGAAATCAGCCAGGTATAAAGACCAACATAAACTTTATCTTTCACGTCTATCATAAGGGCGTACTATTGCTTTTTGTAAGTCGGACCTTAAATGTGAAGCTTTCTTCTAGTTCTGTATGTAGGAGTGGACTAGGCATTTGTGATCCTGAACATACTGATGATTGCTACATTAATCTATGACTAAGAATTGTCACCTTAACATTATACTCCAGTCTGAATGTATAATTAAACCTTATCGGTGCATCCCTAATGCTAAGTAATCAGTGGTGTAACAATCACTATAGCGACCCAGGCGGCCGCTAAGGGGCCCGAGGCACGGCGGGGCCCGGCCAGGACATCTCCCTGATGCCATGCCGGCCACCTGGGTCGCTATGGCATCTTGCTCGGACAGCCAGGCTGCTGGCTGTCACTGGCGGCTGTGAGAAGGAACGCTCCGTTCCTAAGTTACGCCCCTGTAAGTAATGTTTCTGACATGTACCAGTGAGAAATTTAAAAGAGAAATAAAGACAAACCTTTTTTTTGTCTCGTTTGGGTCACAGAAAAACATTTACCAATGTACTCCTGTCACCCAAAGTCAGCATCTAGCGTGCTTCTATGCTGACAGCGCAGAGCCATGCTGCACCCAGGAGGAATCCTGACAATATGATCAGGATGCACCCCGCTGCCTGATTGACAGCTGTCACTGCCTCTCTAGAGCCAGAGCCAGCTGTGCTCGCCCCCTCCCCTGTCTGTCCCTTCATTGAGCGCTGGAGGAACAGAAAGAGGGGAGGGAAGAATCCCTGCAGAGAGCAGTGGTTGACAGTCTTTGGTCTGTAGGGAGGGGACTGTGAGCTGAGCGTGTAACAGATGCAGTGCCACACACTGGCTTTTGTATTGGGAAGAGTATATTTTACTCTCCCAATATTTCTCCATTAACCATTTGCTGGCAGACACCTCATTACACCAATGCTATACAGGAGATGTATGGCTGGTAGGAAATAAAATGGCTGGTAGTAATTTGCTAGTTGTAGTAATGTAATTCCTACATAGTTAGTAGACATGTGCACTTTAAAAAAATGTGTTTAGTTTCATTTCGTTTTCATTCAGATTTTCCATTATTTCATTTTTGGGGTCTGAAAGTCAATTTGTTTCGGGATTTGCATTCGGACGAAATTCGTTAGCGGTAGTCTGGACGAATTTTCGTTGCAGCAAAGTGACATTTAGCAAAAGAAAAATAACTTTTTTTTTACAGTCTGCAGAAGAGAAAAAAAAAACGTCAGGTCGTCAGCCCCCACAAATGCCCCC